TTTTATCCAAATGGGCAACCGAAAGACAGCAACCAAAACCGGCGCACGAAAGTGCATGGTAATGGTTGTAATAACTGAACTGAGTGGGTAGGTCTCGAATATAGAAGAGAAAAGAAAAGAGAACAGAATTGCTCCCTGAAGCAACCCTGAATTGATCGGTAGCGAGTCAGAAGATTTTCCAAGAAACTTCGTGAATTGTGTTCCACCAGTAAAATAATCTTGGAGTATTATGGGACACTCCAGCACCCTAGATTAGAGACAAAGGCCTGCCGCTGTCGACACAGTTCGGTGGACTCCGGTATGTTCTAAAGAAAACTTGTCGTGGCAGTCAGCCTACATGGTAACTGGTGATACCATATGCGGTGGTTGCCAGGGGGTTAGATCAACTTGTGATCTTTGAGTCCCGGGTTCGAACCGCTCCACCGCCGACCGTCCTCCCAGGCAGCCTTTGTGTGGCCGCGGCCCCCCTTCCTGAATGTTGACTGTACATTTGCATATTCAATAAATAACAAGAGGAAATAAAAATACATTTATTATTATACCATATACCTATGTAAGTTGAATGAGTAATTCGAATGTGAAAAGATCAGTGCTATTGCTGTTGCCTCGTGGCTGGTTAAACGTGTGCTGTACAAAAGCGTAGGAGGCGTTGATGCGTGGGTTCGAGTCCCACCGAGGCTACTGAACTTTTCACCATTTCAACCGCCGCCCAACTTTGGTGGTAGACAGCTTTGGTGTCGTCCGGTTGAATACCACACCTAACCTGTCTTGTCCTTGTGGTTCGCCATTCTAAGTCCCGGGGCTTAGGTTACCCGTTTCCATCAATGCTGTTCATCACACTAAATTGCGTAATAAAAGAGTATATTCAGAATCGTAATTATAAATTTGCTTTATTTTTTGGATGGCTATACTAAAATGATCAAGAGATAAAAATCACGAACAGCTATCGTAATTCGCTCCAGTAGTCACTCGACTCAAACTTAGCGATCGGGATGATTACGAACTCCGTTCGTATTTTTTCGACCTATCCTCTTTAGCCACTAACCGGTTTCCGGAGTTCTGTCCGATTCATCTCGGTTGGTCTCGCACTATGTTGCAGTCCACTGTGAACACTTCTCCTCGTACTTCCAATGCAGTTCAACCACAACAACTACCAGTGGTTCTCCTTCCCTCGTTGTCGTCTCAACAACAAACACCAGGAACTCCGTCTGATTCGGGCGATAATTTGCTATCGGGATCTTCAGTGGACTTCGTCCCCATGGTTGTCCAGGTTCCCCGACAGTCATTATGTGTGCTTCGATTTTCCCACCATCGGGTTACTGTGTTCACCTACAACTGGTCCAAAGAAGAAGCGGATCGATTATCCTATCGTCTCTCCTCATTGGCCGACTGGTATAATCGTCGACTGAAGGTAAGACCAGTTTGACAAATGTTTTCTTGCTGTGTTTACAATTCCTTCTTATTTCTGCAAGTCTACTTTATCCCGTACACTGTGAGAAAACATTTGAAGGCCACCGGTTGTTTCCAAAGGTTCCGTCACCGAGTTGTACGTCTGAAGTGGAATTTGGTGGCGTTACCCACAGGGGTGTATGTAGCGTTTCAGCAAATTCTGTGGCACTATAGACGCAGTGCCTTTGATCCATAGGGCAAAGAAGGGAAAATTGAAAAAACGAAACACTTGAGAGTATGCTATTTTGATGATTTTGGCTGTTATGCTTTCCTTGACAGCTTTGCCGCCTTGCCTTAATCAACGTGTTCAATTATTTTTTTTCATGTGCTATCACTGTTTGACTCCGTAACAGCAATATTTTCATGTTGATATGGTCACTATCGGTTTTTCTGAATTCCTTTGTGTTACTGAGTTAACCTCTCTCTCTCTCTCTCTCCATGTTTTGCAACTGCGTTATTGTTTTTTACTAGGCCAGATTACAAGATCACTCATCCCTGTCTATTCCTTTGCCCTCAGCTTAACAGTTATACTACCGATGTTCTCTTCATGATTCCGTCATCATCATCTGACCACAGAATGGCTGTTACACTACCATCTGGTTGCATCGTGCATTCATTCTCATTAAGTATATATCGATATATTATATTTAAATCGAAAATGTGCCGCGTTTAAAGACCCTTATTCCCGTCATTGCTGATTATCCGGTCCTTTTTTTCATGTTTTCCCTAACTGTGTTTTTAGTTGCTACAGTGCTTATCCAACCAAAAACTCGGTTTGTTTCACGAATTGAACCACCCGTTCGCACGATGGTGCGCAGGTCATGCAACTGAACTGATTCGCAATCCCTGTCCACCCGAATTACTAACCTATCCGGATAGCATCCTTACTGGGTTGACATCACGCGGTCTTCCGGTCACTCCGGTTAGTGCCTCTCTAGTGGGCACAGCCATGCGAGCGTATGGCACTGGTGTCCCGGGGGTAGGTGGTGCATCGGTTGTCGGTGGTCCTGTTGCCGGCGGCAGTGGTTCTGTTGGTGTTGGTGGAGGCTCTGGCACACGAAGACGCCATCCAACTTCGAGTGGTGATTTCAGCTCGGTTGTTCATCTTTCTGCGTCTGCGACCGCTCCGAATCATCTATATTCGACTTCATCTGGCAGTCCATTCGCATCTGGCGTTGCGTTTCAGGCTGATTTGAATTCAGCCAAGAATGTGGCCAACTTTTTGCACCTGTTCCAGGTAAAAAATGGTGTGTTTTATTTCATTTGGCTGTCGCCTAGCTTCTTTTCTATTTTAATCAAACACATTTTGTGTAATAAGCAGCAGACGGGGTGCACTCCGTGGCCGCGTAGATCTGCTAATCAGTGGAAGAAATCGTAAACACGAGCCTCGGCCTTGCTGGGTAAGACGTGGTGTCCAACTGGGCCACGACAAAGCTGCCTACCACTGAAGTTGGATGACAGCGTCGGGCTTTGAACCTCAGACTGTAGGGTCCAAAGCACATCGGTGATAGCCACCAAAATACTGCGCCATCATCACCCTAATTGTTTGATTGTTGTTTTTGGACTACTCGCTTTTCGTCTCGTTAATCACGGAACTTTGACGTTTTTTTAAGAAGTGCTTTTCTGGCCCACTACTTAGTGATATATGTTTGGATTTAACCTATTACTCTTCAACCCACGGTAGACAGACGGAATCAAAGACAAATTACAGATTACGTTTTGAAGATGCTCACGTTTCCAGTCGATACACTACACTGTGGATACAGGCGGGCACTTTTATTCAGATTCATATTTATCAGGTGATTCACTAAGACGAAAACACATTGTTGTGTAGCGCTGTCTAATGGCAACCGCGAATCACAACTCACAAGCCCGTCCACTCCCCTCTGAATCCTTTGTGAATGTTTGTGATCAGGAATAGCCGGTCAGAATAAGACAGGTGAGTTCTTCGCATGTCTCAGATCTGACGCGTTCATTCACACCAAATGTGTTTTGCTATCGTTTCGCTAAGTCATCATTATCATCACCATCATCGTACAGCGAAATACACCGTTGCGAACTTCACCGATCGCAAACAAACTAGCAATGCATAGAGGGTTAGTGGTATTGCGTAAAGTGGACACGGATTCGACCTGTTTTGAGTGAGCAGGAGGAAGTTGAACTTCTATGGTCAACACACAGAGTACACAATCGAACTCTGCGTATACACCGGTTCAAGCATTCTGACCTGATAAGGAATGACAACAAGAACGCCATTGCTTTCAGTTTGCTGCCATATCCTTTAGCCTCCATCGCGCCAGTTGCAGAATCTTGCTGAACATGTGCATTTCTTCATGCCTCGTATCCACGTCATCTGTGGACCTCCATATGGTTTCCTCTAGCCCGGAGCGCCTAAGGCGAATAAAGCGCGGTGTGGCAAACGACCGCTGGGCATGGATGATAAGTCCCTTAACCAGCGAAGTTTACTTATCTGAATTAGATGAGCTAGGAGGTTTATCTCTTTTGAACTCCCCAAACACACGACGACATACCTACAGATTACTAACACGTTCACTCCATCCCACGAGGGCTTAACTACGTAAACACCGATAGTCGAGAACTTCTGGTCTATGGATATCTACTCGTAAATTCAAGGTCTCACAACCATAAAGCAGAACTGAACGAACGGTAGCACAATATACATGACTCTTCAACTTCAGTCAAACGTCGCGTCTACGAGACGGGAGCAGGTCAATGACGCCGGTGGGATCGATAGGTAGACACACAAGGTCAAGATACATAAGAATCAGTCATCAAACACTCAGACAATAACTAACACGAAGGATCACGCGGTGATCAAAGTCAAATTAGAATTCACGGAAATGAACGTATGCTTATAGGATCGGAAAAAGAGTCATTGGGTGAGGGGAGCAACCGTGGTTTCGTCATGGACTGAAAGAAAGATTTTCTTGACGTCATGGTTTCTACAATAGCTTACGAGGTTACCACCCGTCCCAATCTCGAAAAGTATGGGACGGAGCCCATCCGAGCCTGCTGCCTTTCGTCGATTTAGAGCTTGAATGCACGACCGAACTTCTCCTTCTGAAGCAGGATCGCATATCACTGCTCACGGAACTTCAGCTGCAGATGAAATAACATGACTAGAGCCAGGTCAGCTGAACTGCCCACTGGCGTATTCCCCCCCCCCAGCGATCAAGTCGTTGAACAGCCTGTCCACTTTTAGCGCAGACTGTTCCACTAACTGGAGTTCGCCAACCTTCTGTATTGCGTATCAGTCGGCACAGTCTTTGACTATTCTCTGATGCAGCTGCTACTTCCATTTTACTAGCTGTTGTTACCCACCAGTTCTCACGGTTCTCCTCGCAGCTCTTCGTGAGCCACCTATTTCTATTCTAACACTGGCCGGTCGGGCTTTGTCGGCTTCACTCCATCAGGGCTACTGACTCATAAGATACGCAATGCCTCCCACGGGCTTGGGGCTCAGAGCCACCAGCAACATTCGCTGCGGAATACATTGCTCGCCTAACCTGATCCCACCGCTCATCTACATCATCACTTTGAAGGGCGCTTAGCTCACACACTAGCTGACTCATAATGTGGACAAACTGCTGGGACAGACAGGCGATAATGAACTAACCGAATTTGCTGTCTTGTCGCCGGTCAGTCAGTCGGAGAGTGAACTGCATCAAAACTAATGTGTGGTCAGACTCAACGCAGGTGGTCCAATAGGACCTGCAATTTTGCACTGAGCCACACCAACGGTAGCTTACTACTGTGGTCGATTTGAGTTATAACACCAGTAAAACTGGAGCGCCACTTTGCCGTCCGTCGAAAGCTGTGTCGGAAGTTGGTACTGGATGGGATCATGATGGTCTGCTCACACCTGACGAAGTCGATCGCCGTTGTCTGTTCGCGGACAGGACAGAGCACAACGACCGCCTAGGCGAGCTTCTAATACGCTCAGTTTTCCAACCTACGCGGTAAAGTCACCTGCAAGTACAACTACGTCGGAGCTTCAACTAATCGGAATGAGTTCAGTGAGTTTATCGTAGGAATCGTCCTTTTGTGCATTAGAACTGCAGTTGTTCAGTGCATATGCCGATATGATGAACAATCACCTTTTCGTGTTTCTTTCCGCACGCTGATTGAACCATGGAGACGCATCGCACACCAGCGACTGTTGACCCGCATTCAATCGATAAGAGGAGACTTGACCTTGTTACTGGACATAACACCTACCCCGTGCTGACCTACTAAACCAGCTCCGAGGTTATTTGATATGCGAAGAACGCACACTGTGAACGATTCTGACCAGCGCGGTCCTGATTATCCTGCGCGACGACCGATGCAGTATGGAATTACTTCTAGTTTGTGTATGCATTGGGGTTTGATGGACGAGTGCTGCTGGGGTGTCTAGCCACTAAGCGGGAGAACGATTAGGGTTCTCAACCAAAGCCTTTAGTTCTAACAAGGACCTAACCGCAACGCAGCGGGCGAAGCGAAGTGGGACCCATTTACTTTGATCAATTACTCCTCCACCATTTTTACCGACCGTTGCAAGAGACAGATTAATATCTACTTCTTGTGTTGTAACGCTGTTTAAGCTGCTTCGCTAGAGTGTGATCGGGCGATCGGATAGGCAATGCCGCGATTGAACGCAGTTTGGCTACCTGCGGTGCTCGATCTCCACCGATTGCGGTATCCTATCTTGTAGACTACTTGGTCGATGTGAAATGCTTATATGGACGCAGGTGGCGAGTGGAAAAAGGCGAAACGTGGTTAAACTAAGACCTGATATTGGGGTATGAATACTCTGATCAGGGCTGTCGATCAGATATATCGCATTAGAATTCACGATCGGGGACCGGTGACGCCGAAAGCCTCAGTATGATCCGTGTGGGTGTCTGGGATTGTGACTGGTCTCCATTCCATTGCACCTGGCGAAATGCTCCTATGTAACCAAGCGTCTCAAATAGACTCTGCTGAGGAAGCCCTACTCACTCCCTTCTCGTGGCGGAGGAGTCTTCCCACCAAAGTGAAAGGATGAAAAGCTGACGTCGGGGGCAATAACCGGGTTGGTTAACTATCGGCAGTTCACCTAGAGGAGTTGACTAAAAACCCTGATTCTAAACCAACCGAAAGGAGGCCTACGAACCACACGCACAGCTTCCTGGTTGCGGCAGTGGTCACCGGATCGGTTGGGCATGGAGGTGTATTGAGTACCTTGGACGTTTGATCACGTCCAAAGCGCGTATGATCCGATAAACTGGATACCGACCCCCAACGGCCTGTAGATTGTGAGCCCAGCTCCGTTGTCTTGCAGGTCTGGCTATCTAGCCAAAGGCTTCTGGTGGGGACCCCGATGTCATCCCCCTTCTTCGGCCAACCGCGAAGTAACGTGCTCACACAACCTATGAACACATTTTTCATATTTCTTTTTGTTCACATGTGGCACATTCGCCAGTTCTCTGTAATTGGTTACGTGTTGAAAGAAATAGGACGCTGATTAGTCGAGTGTTACGAACGGTGACGGTTTTGCATCTGTCTAGTCTGCACGCTGATCGCTGGTTTAACTGTTTTCTGTATCTTTACTTTGATTTTGCTCCTACTTTTAATTTGCCCTGTTTACTCCTCCCTCACTTGTCAACCAAATTAGGTAGCCGAATGACAGCAATACAAACCGTCACGACAGCACAGCGCTAATGGTTATGAAAACTAAAAAGCATCCAGTCGATGGATCGATTCCTATTGTATGAAACTGCTGAGTGTTGGAAATGGTTCAGTGCTATCCGGTTAGATTTTTTCGTGTTCGAAACCCGAGTGAAAGAATAAAATCCATTCTAACAAGTCAGCAGCGGGCACGATCAGAGTATTATTGTTTTCAGCTTGACCGTTGTTTATCTATCTATATGCGTTGGTCACATCACGCATACGTCAATCGCATTTCAATGTGAAGTTAATATTTGGATAATCCCCACTACCATCAGAGTGAGTTAGGTATAAGGCGAGAATTTCACTTCAACCGCTAAGTATGATTTTGGTGTTATTGTCGTTGATATCAAATGCATATAGCCTTCAGGACTGTTTCCTATGCTCTCTGCGAAATAGGAATATTGGATTGCTTTCTGGCTTTTCCAGAGTTGAAGTAAAACTTGAAACTTGTTTGTAAAGATCTTACTGGTTTATTCATGTGGTAAGGAAAATGTAGTTCTCCTGGCGTTTTGTATTTTCTTTTCCGATGAGTTAGCCCAACGCTGGTGATTAGGGGTGAAGCGTCAGTAGTCTTAGCACTGGTTCTTCTTGAAGATTTTCTAAAACGTTCACAGTGAGTACCATACACGACTGGCGCACTCACTGGTCGACATCGGTGAATACGACCACGCTTTGTTATGAGCCAAATTCTCAGGCCTGGTAAAGAACCGCAACAAAGCGACCTGCAACAGATAACCAATATACAGTTGCAAAGCCGCCTCGAAATAGAGCTCGCGGATCGCCTATCAGTTCAACCACCAGCCGAAGGACTCAATGAACACCGATAAAAACAACGGCGGACTCTGGTGCACGATAAAATTATAACATAATGGATCCCGTGGACCTTGGCTGCGCTACTCAGAATGATTTCTCCCAATGGAACATGTGTGAGTGTAGCCAAAAGGCGGCAACCGAAACCGGCGCAAGGATGTGCACGGGTAATCGTTCTAGAAACTGAACGGAACATGAGAGCGCGCAAATTCCTAAATGTCAGCTAATCTAGAGTCTTGTCTTCCAAAATAGTGACTGTAATGATAATAGGACGAATAATAACGGTAATTATCAGATAACGAATGTTTACTGTGGCATATCCATCACGACGAGACTGCACCTTGACGTAGTGTGATAGCTTGCGCGTCTCAGTGACCCTGCGAGCCACACAGGATGGTTTCTCACAGCCGTAGATCCAGTCATGCCTGAAAGGTCAACGGGTAGAGGCCAGACGGAGACCAGTCTCACAAGCCAGCTGCTTGGGCACCCCCTGGCTTCCTTCTGCTGTCCACACCCGCCCCTGGAGAGGTCACTCCAG